CTGTGTGGGTGGAAGGAGGTTGTGAGTGATACCGCTCTGCCATCCCTGTAAAACATTTTAGTCTCTCATAGAGCAACACAGCAGCGTCAAAGTGATGCTCTCATTACTGTGGAAATATTATATGTAGCCATTAGTCTTCTTCCTTCAATTAGTGACAGTCAGTTAAACTGTGCTCCCAGACTACTATAGCAGTTGGCAACCTTGCCAAGTCAAACTTGTCTCCCATTTGGAAAACAAACTGGCAACATCTACTGCTCACCAGCCACACTCCACAGCTATGAAAAGAGGACAAGGCAGTCGTCTAGTTTGAAAACACTGTATGATTAATTCACAGGAAAGGAAATGGCACAGGAAAAGAATAAGGAGCCAATCTTCACGGACACACTAATAACAGCGTTAATGTGGTACAAACACTGAAGTTCCTCTTTACAGAGTCTCTTTTATTTTATCTTAAGCTTCTTATTTTTCTTCTCACCTCCTTGTCTCTCAAGGATTGTGGGAGGAGTTATTCATCACGTCACAGGTTTGAACTAAGGAATACTGTTCTAAGAGTTACTTTTTTTCAATGGGATATATCAAAGCAGGCTTGAAAGGTCAACTGTAAGCAGCTGTTCTTTCTTCTGCAGCTGAAATCCAATTCAAATCGGCAGAAAATAGAGTTCTCTATTTTGAGTGATAGAGAAAACAAAAAACTGAAGTTCTTCTGATAAATCCTGTGAGGCAAGTAGTCTACCAATATAAATGGGCACAGCTTAACTGATGTCAAGTAGAATCTCGTTTATTGATAGAAACAAAGATTTGGGTGCCATATCTGTACGAGAGATCTCCTAAACAGCTGGTGCTGAGATATGATCAGAGAAGATCAAAGTTGGTGTATGTGTTAAATCAACATGAGATTTTAGATGTAAAACGAAGCCTTAGAGTGCTCAAAATAATGGCTCAGAAGAACACTTCCACCATCTTGAATTCATAATCAAAAAACCTGAAGGCAGATAACGGTGAAAACTTACTGTAGTCTGTACATGTTTGCTCTGAAAACATCTTTTAATCTGTATTTATAATTTAATTATTTGGATATTTATTGTTTTTGTTGTTGTTGTTTTACATGAAAGCAAAAGACTATGTCTCTTAAACATGTGAGTATAGTCAGTATACATTAATTCCATGACATTGTTCATGCAAGTAAAAAAATAGTACATTATTTAGAACAATTCTCTCTAAATGAGAGAATTGATAATTAGAACTTCTTATGGAAGTTGTTAAGGAAATGTACCTTGTAGCAGTATAATGAATGACATTTCCTTTGCAAGATATCTTCACATTAATAAATAAATAAATAAATAAATAATGAAAAATGTAACCTGTCACTATATTTCTTCATGGCTTCAGAAACACTATTCCAAGTTTGCCAAGTCTGGCAGTCCAGTTAACTGCTCCAACATGAAATATCATTTTTAAACAAGACTTTAGGTTATCCTTTCATGTGAAAATACCGTATACAGTTTTTTACTACTAAAGGTCAGGTAATAGAGCACTTGGATTGAATAACAAGCAGAGAACAACATACTGCAAGTAGTCTGCTACCAAAAGCGTTCTGCTAAATGACAGATGGCTGGCAATCTGTAAGGAGGCCAATATTAGGGCAAACTAAAGGGAAAAAAAAAAAAAAAAAAAAAAAAGGTGATGGAGGAGAGGGCAGGAAGGAGAAGATGGTGGAACCACCTAAGAAATAGAAAGAATTAGAATGAACAGTGTGTTAACATACCCATATTGGTCAGTCACCTGTGGGCATTTGACCTACTTCTATGATGTCCTCCTACAGTGATATGAGCTTTTCTTCTTCTCAGCAGGTAGTAATCTTCAAGGAAGAACTGCTGAGTACTGCAGACATCTCTACTTGCTGATCACCCAAATTGCATTCGATGATATGGGCATTTCTGCAGTGCATACACCTTTTGCTCTCTCTTAATTTCTCATTTTCTCCAGATAATCCAGAAACAATTTAGTAAAAGATTATAAAATCTGAGAAAAAGTTCAGAACCATCTGCAGTGGGAAGTTCTGTGCACCTTTAATATGCAGTACGTTCTGTATTATTTTTATACATTTTATATAGGCAATTCGTAATGTGTTAGGAGACAAAATATTTTTGGTGTCATGTTTGGTTTATGTTAACTTACAGTTTCTCTAAATTGTGTATTTTCCATGGGACTGTCTATAAAAAGTCAAGAAATCAATGTTATCACCAAGCTAGAGCTTCACTTGACTATAGGCATTTACAAAGTGCATTGGGTTAAATGTAAGCTGGATATATATTACCAACTGCATTTGTGCAGCTTCATTCATTTTCAGCTATGTAGATGCATACAAAACAATTACCCTATCTGTTTAAAACCGTAGTAAATACATTTTATATTCATAATGCAGTAAGATGGAAAGACTATAGTGTGAACAAATGTTGCTATGAAAATTTCTCAAAAATCAGTTCTTTACATCTTGCAATTTTCTCCTGCTCCTTTTTTTCTATATTTCTAATAAGAAGTTGAAGGGAATATCCTGTGAATTATTTCTCAGGTAACAAGGAAGGTAACAAAGTCTTCATAATATAATACAATTGCTTTTCACTGTACATGCTAAATAGGGTGTTAAGAATATTAGAAAACCCATTCTCTGTTGTGATTATTATTTCATATTGATCCACTATAGTTAAAATAATAAAAGAATATACATTTCAATCTCAGATACACTTTCAAACTGATTAATAGATTTCTACAGTTATATTTACATTGCAACAATTTTACATCTAAAGGCAAAATAAAGTTTACAATTGCTTTAAGCTCTGCACAAATTAGCACTTCATCGAATATTAATGAATTACTCCTTGAGATCAACTGTTATGCAAATAATATTTGTGTCACAATTATAATTACATTTACTTCAAGATAAAATACATGAATATTTACATAATAAAGACTTGTGCAATAAAGTGACTAAATCAATTAAGACTCATACCATAGTTTTAATAAACTAATGGTTTTGTTGCTGATTTTGCAGAATGAGGTAACAGTAGTTTTTCATACTGATTTCTAATGATTCTCGAAACTCTGAAGTTTCTTAAAAAATTATAAAAATTTTGAAATCAAACGCAATTCATATTATGTCATATATTATTTTACCTTGCCAGTTAAAAAGTAAACCAATACTCAATATTCTTGTTGTCTTCATTATACATTTTGTATCACCAAACCTAGAGGGAAGCTACATCATTACTAGCATTTTTTTTTCCTGTATTAGGATTGTGGGTGTTTTTTCTTTTTCTTTTTTTTTTTTCTAATTATCTATGTGATATTTACAGAAGGAGTTTGCACAATCATGGGTTGAAATCTTCATCCTCCTAATATAGTATTAGAAGAAAATGGCTTGGAAGGGATCTCTGTAGATCATCTCGTACAGCACCACAGCTTCTCTGGGCAGCATATTCCAGTGCTCTATATCCTCTGAGTGAAAATTTAACATCTAATCTGTATCTCCCCTCTTCTAGTTTAATTTTGTTCCTCCTTGTCTATTGTTCTCTGCCTCTGTAAATAGTCAGTTCTTCCTCCTTTTTATAAGCTCCCTTCAAGTACTAGAAGGTTACAATGAGGTCTCCCTGGAGACTTCTCTCCAAGCTAAACAAGCCCAATTCCCTCGAACCTTCTTCATAGGTGAGGTGCTCCAGACCTCTGATCATCTGATCACATCAGTTTTCTTTTCTTGAATTGCAGGATGGTTTGAACATGCTCCTAAAAAACAGGTATGTCAAATAAAAGAGATATATATATATTTTCTCATAATATACTTTCAAAAGACTTTTTGAAAGGTGGGGAAAATATGCCTCAGGTTTTTCTGTTTCTCTATCAAGAAATATGAATTAAATATTTTGTCAAGACCATGTGAAATAAAGAGCGAGAAATAATCTTTCTCTCTCTCTCTTTTTTTTTTTTCTTCAGGAATGAGCCGTAACAGAGGCATTAATAAGAAAAAGTAAATTTCTAAGAGGTCAGAGAAGAAACTGGCCTATTAGCAGCAACAGCACAAATTCCCTATTTCTTTTTTTATTTTTTTTTTCTTCTCCTCCTAATTCACCAGAGACTGCACTAACAGAGAACCCTTTAATTTAACAGGATAGTCATAAAGTATAGAAGCTTTTACTAATCTCATGGCATATTGCTGGTGTTCAGGTTATTAAAGCGAATTATACAGTTCCACAAATGGAATCAACTCTGAGCATACAGTAAAGTCAAGAGTGAACTTCACTACTATGAAACAAATGCATATAACTAATTATGGTGTGAATCGCTCTTGAGGAGGGCATCAAGCCAGCAAAGAACTGAACTATGATGTGTTGTTTTCTATTTTTTGCCATAGTGGTAATTTCTTCCTGACGCTCTTTTTCTCTCTGTCATTCAAAGAGATGTCTGGCCACCAGGACAAGAACCAATTTTAAAACCCAGAAAATTCAGCAAATGCAACATGTACTCTTATTACTTTGCACTACAGCTGCTGCAGTGGTGAAATAGTTATACACTACCAAATAAAATTATGCTTGTGAGCTATATTGAACAAATATGCTTGACCAAAAAAATTTATCATAAATATCACTCAAATATCATCCCACCATGATTTCATAATGGTCTAAAATAGGAAAGCTTCATCTCCCAGCTCTACAGAGTTAATACTGAGCTATTAACCATTCATTAGAGGAGGGACTGGAAGTCCCACCAGCAACTTAATGCAGCCACCATAGCCAGAGCCATGCATTCAATGAAGCAGTACTTTTCTTTTCGCTGTCAATCTTCAGTACCAGAGCAGCAGGGTTTTATTTTATCTTTCCTTTTTTTCCCATTTCACAAGGGTATTTAAAATTTGATCACAACAATGGTTCAGTTCATATGCATATTACAAACTGCTTTGGGGACTGCTCAGTGCAAAATGGGTGGATAATGTTACAGATTAACTTGACTCTGGAGTGTGAACTGTCAGCTATATCCTTCAGCTGGGGAAAAGATTTTAAACACTACCTGGAAAATTGTGAGGCCTAATCTTTCTGCTGCGCTGGCTTGCAGTATAATCCGCATAATGTGAATGTGCTTTCCATCTGACTGAGGCAGGCATGCTGCTAAGTGATTTGAGCGATTTGCCTGGTATAGTAACCAGTTTTCTCTGTCTCACTGCATGCCAGGAACTTCCTGAAAATCTTTGCCTATGGCTTGACACAGACTGCTGAGTAGCCACAAAACTGTTTGATAAAAGCACCCGTTTTGTCCAGTATAAATCAATAGAATCCTGCTGCAATAGCTGTATTTGACTACAGCACTCAGCTGTTATCAAGTACAGGCCCTGTTCCGACTATTTTAACTTCAGAGTATGTATCTTTTTCCCAGCTGGTCTTCAACACAGCAGGGATGACTGTGGTGTGTGCTCAGTGTTTTAGCCAAAGAATGTTCAAAATTCACAGCAGTCCCTGGCCTCCAGACAAAGATTAACTGAAAATGGATTTGAATGCAGATACCAAATTATTTTCCAAAAGCAAAGTACACAAAGCATGATTTCTCAAATATAAGTTTATAAGCCTGAACTGGAAAGATTTTCCAGTAATTTCTCCTGTCTTTCATACCTTACACCAAGCTATTTGTTCTAGGACAGTCTCACAAGTAATTATAAAACTTGAAATTATTTGAAAGAATTTATTGCCAATGAAAGGAAGCTGGAAAAACTCTCCTAACATCAGTGTTCAAAATTTTATTGTTCTCACTTTCTCTATACTGTATTTTTGCTCATTAAAGCAGTTTTTACATAACAAGACACAGTATGTTTTCTGCACAGCACCATGGCATTGCATGAATAATTAGCTTTAGTCTCCCTAAAATTGGAATTACAAAGAAAAAGATGTGTTTTTCTTTTCTAAAGCTTTATGTTACTAGAGCTAGAAAAAATGGTACAAGTTAAATGTTTCTTATTCTGTTATTTACTCTTATAACTTTTAATGTTTTTTACATCTCTAAGAATGTCAAGAAAAGATGCCAAAGCACATGCAATCCCAATAAATTGATCTGACAAAACAAGAAGGAATTCTATGACTAGAAATTTTACTTGCAACATGGGGCTTGTAATCTCATACCAACTCTTGGTTCTACAGCAGTGGTTAACATTTTTGACCTTTACTCCAAAGAATCCAGCTTTCCAACCTTTCACAGGCTTCCATAACACAATAATAGAATATTTATACTTTTCTATCATGTGAATGTGCTATAACATTAGTAGTTTTAATAATGGTGAAACACATAGTGCTTTTGTGTTCCCCAAGCATATAAAAAAATAAAAACACCTCTAAAAATGTGACTGTCTAGGACTGGGCTACCCATAGCAAGTACTTTTATACAGAAAGGATGTTTCCTTACAAAGACCACAGACTAGGAGATGGATGGCAATTCTAGCATTGGTTGAATATTGAGCAGACTGCTTTGGAAGCAAAGTTATCAGAGAAATTTGGAACACTTTTCTAAAATACATCTAGCTTCTTCTAATTTGATTTGCAGCTGACTTCCAAATTTCAGTTTTTATAATTTGAAATCAACAATTTAATTTTTTACTGGGAATCAGGATGTTCAGCACTGTCAGCTTCTCATTTTGACCCAAGTTCCTGTGAGAGCGTTTGCAAGTTATCCATTCTACTGGAATTAAAAATAATAATAATAATCTGAAAAGATAACACTGCATATTTGTCACATTGAAAGTAAGAAGAAGACAGAGGGAAAAGAAGGGAGGAAAGGGAAATAAGAAAGGAAGCCTGCATATGCCTAATGCTTGTCTGTAAAAAAAAATCAGCTTGAACATCTGTGTGCAGATATGACATACTAATATAGCCAAACACAGTAACAGCCAAAGGGGATCTGCTGCTTAGCTGCCTCGAGTAATTTACAGTAAAGCTGTCTCCTAAGCATACACAGTTAACGCATGCAATTTCCCAAAGGTTTTTGAAAATGCTATAGGAGACACAACACTCTCAGAAGCACAAGGTGATTCCTGTTACTGACAGTCTCCTCATTTCTCCAAATGACAGCATTCTTTTTCTGAGTCTCTCTCTCACATTTCAAGTAAATTCTATGGAAGGCTGGAAAAAATATTTTATGTTTTCATTCCTTTAAATAAATAGGTATTAAGAAGAACATGCTGGAAAAATGAGTTTGCACAGTTTTTACATATATATTCAGAATTGCTTTGAGACATTCAAAATTTCTTCTTTATTTTGTTTGTGGTTAAGAAAAACTGATCATTTTGAAGCCCTGTGCAAGCACAGTAAGCCTTGCTCCAAGCTTACTGACGATCAGCTAGATCTCATGCTCTAATATAGTAAAGAAAGTTCAAATCTGCCTAAGTTCTAAGAACATTAATATCTGCTTATAAAGGTGAAGTTCAATCTGTGTCTGCTAAATACACAACCTAAGTTCTATTTAAATTTGAGTAAGCTGTAATGAAATACTTTATTTTTAGATAAATTATAAACATAAATTGACTTTGCTTAGAATTTTACCAGAGATTTAATCTTCAGTTGACACTTGTATGAGATAGAGCTTTAACTCATTAAATTATGCATGTCTTCAATCCATTATTTGGTTTTACTGCATTAATTAGTTGCACACTGAGCAACAAAATTAGTGCTTGCTCATCTTGAACACAGACATCGGGCCACAAAAACAGAACAAGTAGGTACAGTATAAAAGCATAATTTAACATTTCAAAATCATTAATAACATTTCACAACGCAGCTCAGATTTAATACAGAAATAATGACCTTAACTGCAAAAAGACAGATGGAGACTTGTGATATGGCTTCAAAAACAAGGTGCATGAAAAAAAAAAAAAAATTGCAATTATTAAAACCTGCAAGTTAAGAATTGAGGTTGCAGAGTATACAGGAATGATGTCTGGTAAAACCAAAATAATCCTGCAGAGCAGGCAAACAGGCAGGGTGTCTGATGGAAAGAGAATAATCCTGCATAATATGCAGAACTAGTACAAGCTGTGATCCCAAAAATAATTGTCAAGAGCAGCTGAGATCACCCAGTTTTCTTCAGGGGAGGAAGCAGAGGAACATAGAACACCAGGGGAGTTTTATGGGAAAAGAGCAGGAAGAAAGACGGCAGTAGCAGTCTGTTCTGGCTTTCCTCCTCAAATTGTTTTTTGAACTGATGGATTATAGATATCAGAAAAAAACCTCCATTCAGTGGTATTGTACACCTGAACCAATTTAAAATAACCTTATCATGGACAATAGTGATTAAGAACAGACCACTGGCAATGGGCATTTTTAATGAATGTCAATTCAGTAAAATGTCATTTTGAAGCTTGAAACTGGATGCTTTTGAGAGTCTTCTAAACATTCCCATCTGATCTGTTAACATTCTAGTGTACAGATACCTGCAGATACTCAGTTGTAATATTATCTTTACATTCTAAATTTTCATAGGACTTTAAAGCAAGGAGTGACTGAATCATATGCAATGTTTCCACCTGACTGCTATTTTCTTATAAGCCAATACAGTCTTTAAGAAATTCCAGTCTTTTTCTTCACCTTTCTTCACTCTTTTTCATTCTTGTATGAAATGACTGTAAGTTTGGGTAAGCACAAAAAATAACATTAAGATTGCCTATTGTTCTGGACTATGTGAATATACTATGTATGGATGTGCATGCATACATATATACGCTAGACCAAGGGAGTATTAAGATTCATCTTTTTATCTAGAATGAGATGATTTCTCAGTGTACGAACATTCACTTGAGGCATTTTTAATTCATTGTATATATACACAAACTCACATTATATGTTTCATGGATTTTAGAGAAACACAGAGTGAGGGAAAAAGAGAGAGAGTTGTCATGATTTTATAATATTTGGTTATTGGTATCCCATTGGGAGTTAAAGGGTTAATGCTCCAGATCTGGGCACCTGTCCAGAAGAGAACTATATTCCCCGAAAGACTGTTCACTGTTCTGTTATCATTCCTGCTCAGGGGAAACACATACAAGGCCTTGGTAGGTCACATGATGGCTCTCTTTTTGACTGTCAGGCTCTCTCGTTGCTGCTCATACAAACTGCACACCATTAGTGTAAGGCCTTCAGCTTTTTCGGACACTCTTTCATTTTATTTGATTTATTAGCTTCAATTCTAATTATACTGTATTATATTGTATTAGTGTGTCATCTTGCATTCTGATATGATATTCAGTAAATTAGTTTGTTTCTTCTCAGATCATCACTGCTGGTTTTATTTATTTTGGGGTCCCTGTTTCCCCTTTTCTAGAGGCTCGGATTTGCAAATCCCTCCGCCCTGCTAGTCGTGGAATCGGGCCAAACCAGCCCATAAACTGTTGGCAAAGAGTGCTCATACCTCTGTCATATTCTCAAGCCAAATCATTGTTAAGTGAGAGTTTCACAGAGTAGTTTGGTTTCTATATACATAGTTAAAGCTCATCTCCCTCCTCATGACACAGACTTGCAGAATAAAATCCTTAGCATGCAGAAAATCATAGAAGAGAAAAAAGAGAACCACATGCACACACACACAAAGATTTTAGTGATTTTGAAAATCCATACTTGTGCTTCACTTTTCAGTCTATAAAAAGAAAGAAGAAAATACAGAGATAACTACTACACTTCCTCCTTATTTAACGACATATTATTTGATGTTTATTTCTACATAATCGGAATAGCTGATGGAAATAATGACGTTAATGGTGAGGATATCAGTGGGCTTGTTAATTTGTAGTGGCTATTTCTCCTGACCTAATTTCCTTTCCTGCTTGCATACCATTTAAATTTCATCTGACTACAATCAGGTTTATTGGAAATATTAATGTATGTGTTTCTCCATAAGCCACCAGCGGGGTAAATGACTTGAGAGACAAATTACAGCATCTGCATTAACAGAATACAGTGTTGTGCTGTGGAGTCTGGCTCTTCATCCTTTACTGCCCTC